ATCAAGGATATAGCTAAATAAAAATGAATTATCAACTGAACTAATGGAAGAGAAAAAGAAACTGCTACTCCATAGATCCTATGTGGAGGTCACCTTGGCTTTCCACATTCCACTGTCATTACACATGAATATTCACTGACTTGGAATTGATCCGTCCTTAATCTAGATTTATTTACAACGAGGGTCTCGGCATTTCTTACAAATGACACACATTAGCTCATCACATGGAATATACTGAAGGCTGAAAATATATCTGGTGGTCCTGTGCCTCCTTGAGAGCAGTTTTCTAATTCTGAAAATGAGTCTGCGCGTCAGTGAGGGAGAGGTTTCTTCGCACTAAACAACAATAAAACAACCAAGCAAATCATCTGCATTCTCTGCTCTCACAGCCAGTCATAATTTAAGAACCAGCTATGATTGCTGCATTTATATATTTTATCAAGAGATCCACGGTTGAATCCGACCTTCATTACAGCAATGAAACTAATTCAGTCAAGGAGGATACCCAATCAGAAGGTGATGCACCTGTATTTCTCTCCCTCTCCTCCCAGCCTTCCTAGATCTTTTCTGGAAAAAAAATAATTAAAGGATTAATGCATCTTTCCCATATACTAATTTGCGTAGTGTGATCCCATCGACTTGAATGTGGAGTTATTCCAGATCTTCATGACCGTGAGGAAGAAGAAAGGCTGTTCCATCACTCTAAGTATCTACTTGCTAAACACATGGATCGATGACAACATAGAGAGGGATTTACAAAAACATTTGTCATCCTTGGTCTGCTTCACAAATCCTATTTACAGATCACATTCATACAATGATTTTTAAAAAATCAGGGACCAAAAGGAGTACATAATTTGAGTATGGCTTTTTTTTTTAAACACATGGCAAAAATGTAGGAGACTGAAGGCCTGCTAGTGAGGAATCCCTCTGCTGACTTTGCCTTCCCTGTGTTTCTCAGCTCCTTAATTATACGATCACTACACATAGGGCTGGTTCAGAAATATCTTTAAGTGGGTACTCATTTTAAATGTGCAAATAGCATCTCTAACTTCAGCTTAATGTTTTGGCTTCTAATCATAAAGCAACCGCCAGAAGAGTTTTCTCCATTTTCTTAACCTGTCACAATTTCTAGGGCTTTTTGCTACCTCTTTTTTTTCCCCAATGACAAAGCACAGAGCCGGAATGCACACAGAGTTTGATCCAACTCTCACTCCCAGGACAACAGCATTGCAATCGCAAAAGTTACTCCAGATTTCTATTGCTGAAATTGGAACTGGACCCTAGATTTTCTTCAGAGTACCATTAATGTTTTACATCTTAAGTACCATCTCTGAAGTCTGTAAATATGTCTTCTCTGTCCCAAGCTTAATCCCAAGACTAGGTTGTGCGAAATGAACTCTGTGGTCTTGGATAACTCAACAACTGCACGGAATTTACTTTTTCCAGGTTTATAGCACCTAAATCAGGGCCGAGCGTTTACTGTACCTCCCAGTCCAGAACGGAGGCCTGCCACTGAGCTATCTTGTCAATGTTCTCCAATCTCCGCTTCCGCTCGTTGATCTGTAGAGTCACATTCCTCATGACGGCAAGAGCAGCAGCCACATACCTGTAGTCACTGTTGAACACAAAAGAAAAGTCCATGAAACAAAGCCTGATGTGCAGTGGAAATGCACAGGAGTCTATCATTAGCAGCAGCATAATCTCACCAGCCTTTTAGAAAGAAGGTAGGATTTGGCACTCATTTCTACGATACCGTAATTTTTCCATCAGCAATGTCTTTCTGGATCATCACAGAAGAGCACCTTGCTTGAAACTGAAGTTGTGTGTGTATGAGACAGAGAAGCCAGCCAGTTCCTCAGCTTGTTTGCATCAGGGTAGCCCCAAAGAGTACAGTCTAGCCTCTACCAACCCAATGTACAACAGCTGTGAATATTGCTCTTGAAAGTCTTAAGGTGCTCAGCTAAAGAGCATCCTGAAAGAAAGTCTGAACGTTTTTATAGCCTGTGTCTCTGGGCCTGGATTTTTCCATTTTTAAAATGAACATTAGAAAAGATTTTTCAATTAGACACAAGGCCAGAGCACCTTCCAAGCCATAAGGTGACTCCAAGAGTGCCACAGAGCATCTATCCCATGGCATTCACTCTTACTGCAGACTTCAGGTGAGCAAATCAAAGCAATTCTTTTTTTTTTTTTTCTTTTTTATTTCTGGATGGGCCTGTGAGTGTAATAACAAAGAGTGAAAATAGCTTCCCGCCAGGGCCAGCAAAGATGATGATCAGTCTTTTCAAAAAGTGATGCTGAAATCAATGCTATTGATTTCCGCCCTGTGCCTTCTTTTCCATTCTAAGGAACCTTAAAGTTCATTTCAATCGGAAAAACAGACAAGGCCAGCTGCCATAATGCCACCGTAACATATTATTAACTTAAGGGCTGATATTGATTGCTGACTAATGAGAAAAACTGCGATCTTGGGCAGCTGCAGGGGGAATGGCTTTATTGATTATTGCTAAGAATTGCACTGGTGACAGCTAAAATAGGGGTGAATGCTGTGAATTAGATCAATTTCCCCATGTGATCCAAACAGGATAAATATTAAGAAACAATCACAATATGATATACAACAGAATATTATTTGCTATTTTGCCATCCTTGGATGAAATCTTGAGATGTGTTTTCAATTTTTATTCAATTCTTACATCAAAATTCTAGCTGAGGTTAAAAAAAAAATCCTACAAATTCCAGAACATCAGGACTGGTCCTTCAACAAAGTAAAGGAGAACAGAGGATGGGCTGTCTGACATATCCGTCGGGATACACAATGAAGAATTTCTTGTGCCTTCCTTTGCAGGGCCATCTGTATGAAGTGAGCACCTGGTTGCGTAAGGGAGAAATGGAGCTATGCCAGAGAGAAGTTAGTCTGGTCTTCAAGATGTCCATGAGTTCTTGTAAGGAAATAGGTCGCTATGGCCAGAAAGAATCTGTAGGGGTAGGGAGAGGTGTAGGGTTTAGAGACAGTCACTAATAATCTCCTAGCAATTATGCTCGTGCAAAGAAGGGAGGCTAATGTCAGTCCACCTGTTAGCAGAGTCTCCTCTTTCTCACATAACGTGTTCATACACTTTTAATTCCAGCTCAGTTCTGCAGCAGGAACGCTCAGGACACCAGCAAGCTGCGCTTAGGACTTTCATATATTTAATTCATATTAAGCTGGAGTAAATCTTGAAGAGGTGAACAGATGTGGCTTTGTGAAAAATTCAAATGAATCAGTCTCAAAACAATAAGCAATTGAAGGGAGCCAGGCTCTGAAAACACCCCCACGCCTGCCTCCATGCGGAGTGCACCAGTGCCAATCAAGCTGGGTTTTGTCTTGGTAATGCTAATTCACTAATTCTAATGTTCTGTTTGAAGAGAAAACCCCATGCACATTTTTCTTTCACGCAGTAATGAAGAAAGAGTCATGACTGAACTTTTTGGGCTCCTAGCCCATGTCTGTGGCAGAGCTGGCAAAAACTTAGAAGAAAAAATAACAGAAGCAAAGCATTTGGCCAGTGAAATAATAATAGGATTGCATTAACTATGAAATTAATTGTTTGACAATTATATTGGGGCTGCAATGACCTCCTTCCAGTGCTCAATCAGAACACAAGTCTAGACTCTTGCCAAATATCACATGCTATCTTGGGGGAGAGTGGTCAGGTTTCTGATTTCAGCTCTGTTGTCCTGACCTGGTACAGGGAAGATCCATAGCTCTACAAGTATGATATTACTGAAGAGGAAGGAAAAAAAAACCAAAAGAATATAATGCCCCACTGTTAGATGAAGCTAACATATTTGCTTTCACTGGCACTCCTGGTCCTTTCTGAGTTTTGCCTTAGTCCGTAAATGGTTCAATTGATTTGAACAGTATTTCCTACATATTACATTCTAATCGGAGTGCCTAACAGACTCCTAATCCAGCCAATGATGAGCCTGATTTCATTGTGAGTATTAGTCCACTCTGTAATTTTCTAGCTTCTGTTTCAGACTTGCAATCTAATTGCGAGCACTGTCAAACTGCAAGCGTACGAGGACAACTCACCGCCTGCTTAATGGGCCCTGAATGAGCCGAAGCTCCCCAGTTGGCTTCTCAGTTTCTTTCATTCATAGCTGACCCTGACGGCTTCCCAACCTGCAGGGATCTGGCTTTTCCCTGTGTCTGGTATTGTCACAACATGACATTCCCCAAAGATTATTTGCTTTTCCGATCTCAGGCTTTGCTCGTCTCAGCCCCGATCCCAAAGCCAGAATTACAAGACCAGAAAATATCTGTAGTTCAAGCAGGCAACCACGGCAGCCCGGGTTTTCTGCACAGCCTCAGTGCAGAATCATCTGGTGGTAAGACACCCTCTCTGTGCCTCGCTTTCCCCATTCGTGGCATTAAGCTTGTCTGGGATGCGAGCTGAGTTGCCTGGAGGACCGGTCCCTCCCAGGCTCTTTGAACGCTTGAAGCGGAGGAGCTAGACCACAGGGAAGTGTGGTATAACCCACCCCATTTCTGTGTTATAACGCCATTCCTCCATGAGTCAATAAACTCTCCGGGGCATGCCCACACTAACGGAGGTACGCCACGCTCCAGGGCTGAGATGAGGCACAGGTCTTTTGCTGGCTCTCTGTGCAGGCATGAGTTTCATATATGCACTGTGTTACAGCTTCAGGGGGCTTACTCTTTACTAATGCAAGGCAAGCAAATATAATCCTGCTTTCCCTTTTCAGAAAACGAAGAAACAAGAGAAACCTTGTCCATGGCTGTGTCCGATCACTGACACAATCCAGTAAAAAAAAGCTCTCAGTCTGAATCAACTAATTGTTGCTTAACCACAGGAAAGGTCCGAGTCTCCTCAGAATATGACTATATCTGATTACTTAACAACATGTTGATTTTAAAACGTGCCAAAGGAAAAAGGAATGTACTCCCAAAATAATTCAACCCTTGTGTAATCACACTGTCCGCATCCCCTTTGGTATGGCTACCAAATAACTCAGAGAAGGTCACTTTAAACACAGACCTCTTCTCTCTGAGGCTGCTTATGTCTTCCCATTGCAAAGCCGCATCTGAAAGTACTGTGGGGACATCACATGGCTGGGAAGGAAAAAAAGCCACAACATTTGGGATCCTAGAGTTGGTTTCTGATACCCTAATGTTCCCATGAGTCCACTCCAAGTTTGGTTTGGTCTCATTATGAAGGGAAAACCAGAAATTGGATCTGGAGCCAAATGCATGTCCAAATTGGTGATTTTGAACTGGGCATTCAGCTAGTATGAATCAAACTCGTGAATCAGGTCAAAGCAAATCAATGCATCTCTTTGCTCATATCACGTCTCTCCACACTTTTAGAGCTGGGTTTGGGGAAAACCAAAAAAAATCAAACACCTGCAGAAGTTTCTGAAACATCTGTGGGTTTTTTGTTCTCTGAAGCACTTCCTTTTAAATGGGTTTTGGAGAAAGAAAGAAAATCGGCAAGCCAGGAGAAAATCTTCTCTTGGGGGGCCTGATTCTTCTTTCACCTTATTTTTATAGCAGTATATCACAAGTGATATCATAGGTATTATTCGTGATTTACATCAGGTCAGGGAGTCAGGTTGATTGCACTCAGCAGCAGCAAAAGAGATCCTGGAAATTTTGGGAAGCAATCAAACTGCCGGGCGCTCCTCTGAACCTAAACCCAATGGCAAAATCAGAGATGGAATCAGGCTGAGAAGCAGAGCAGGTTCTGAATTCTCCCCAAATCTGAGCGTATTCAGGTTTGAGTTGCGGATCCGCTACTTGCTATGTGCTGAGGTCCTCTTCAGGATAAAGGAACGAGCCTTTCTGACCACTGAATGCTAATTAGGTAATTTTTCTAGTGTAACCGGTAGCATCAGAAAGTACATCCAAGGGTAATTAGTTCACATGTCTGATTGTAACAGAGATGAGTTTGGCTCCATTGAGAATCAGTGCTTTGAGAAGCCTTCTAACTTTTTTTTTTCTGCTTCAATTTATACAAGATGTCATGAAGAGAAGAGCTGGACAGAAAAAAACCCAACCCCTGTGTGCGTGCAGAGGCCATGTAAAGAAGCAGTGAGCAAAATCCTTCCATGTAATAAGAGATGGGCGTACCTGTGATCCTGCGCGGTGTACTTCAGCAGCTCTGCGAGCTGCAGGGGGTATTTGCAGATCTTCTGCACTGGCGTCAGAAGGAAACCGTCTATGGCGATATCAATCATCTGCTGCAACAGACGACACGCTTCGAAGAAGTGCTGGTACCTGCTATCTTTCATCAGCTTGGAAAGCTCCATGCATGCATCCAAATGATTGTTACAGTACTCCGAATAGATCCAGAAGCCATCTTGCTGTGAGAGGCAGGAGAAAAGGGATGCACACAGAGGGGAGTACACGTCAGACACGTGCCGCGAGCAGTCAGCCACCCGACTTGCCAACAAGAACGCATTACAACTAAAGAAGAAAGAATACCCCAAGCAGGAGGAGGGAGGACTGATCCTAGAGCACTTTTCCTGCTTGGAGGAGGTGCTGCATGGTGGCTCTGGGGGAAAAGGGAGGCAGAGAGGGACCTGCATACCGACAGATCGCTGAGGTCTCTGTAGGTACAGGGTGTGTTAAAGTGAACCCCTGCGCAGCGTTGTGGGTGTTCTCAGTTTCAAATTGTGCGGTGGGGTTTTCTTTTTAAAAGGTAAAGGTAGAACCAAGCAGAGCTCTGGCCTTTGGTAATACAAGAAGACAACCTTGTTATTTCTAGAGCTATATCCCTGAGGCAAGTGTTTAGGAGCTGGGTATATTTGAAATTCCCTTTACCAACAGGGAACCCAAGGCACCAACCACTGTGTGGATCTCCCCAGGACCAGAGAGCCACAAAACACCAAAGACTGGAGAAACAAAGGAAAAAAAAAAAACCTCACACGTGTGCCCACCCACCCTTTGCACTGGTCTAACAAGTCCTTTTGTGCTAATTTTGTCAGAATCTCCTTTTTCTGCCTTCACTGACCACAGATGGGGCCATGGCAGTTTGTCACCCTTAACTCAGGCTTGATTCGTGTGGGCCACACGGACGAGGCAGACGAAAGGTCAAAGAAAGATTACACTGGGAGAGACAGACACAAACTGACTGCCCAATGTCACATATTGAGACTGTAGTTGAGACAGCCCAGATATAAGCCCAGGTGTTGTAGGTCAACAGCCTGAGATGCAACATCAGGTTGTGGCCAATGCCTCACAAACTATAGAAAAGCCAGATTCTTTTTTTTAAAAATAGACTTGACCAGCAGTTCTCATTTCTCAGTCCCACAAGTGCCCAAATAACCTGCCTTTCTGGGAATAGGGGAGCCCGGTTTCCTTCCCATCCCCACAGCTGACCAAGAGCCAAGCACTAACACCTCTCTCTTCCTCCAGCAGCCGAGGAACAAGATGCTCTGCAGATCCATATAACAGGATCTTAGTGTCCTCATCCTCAGTTTCCCCAAATGGCTAAACAGGGATAATTTATCAGGAGTTTATTAGCCAGCCTTTAGCCCCTATCTGATGACAGATAAGTGTCAGACATTCCTCTGAATAACGGTAGTAATTCTTACTATTGTCACTATAAATGAACTGACAGCACAGCCTCAAGACATGAAGTTTTAGCTACTGATTCTCACCGAGATTTCTTACATCTTTTTAGCACAGAGGTGGAATACGATGCTGCTTTGGAAGCAAGCAGCAGAGATTGCAGGCTCTTGATAAAAATGAGCAATGTTAACGGCTTCATGCAACTTCTCAAAAAGAAACCTGCTTTTCAGTTAGAAGACCAATGATGCTTAAGAGATGCTGTGAACCTTTTCAGGGATGCCCTGCTGAAGTTTCATAGATGTCTATCAGAAATGTCTCTATTAAGAAGCGAACCGTTGCCAGCTCAGCCCTGACTGTAAGTAATGAGGTAACACAGTACAGGATCTGCATCCCGGGTTGGAGCACCTCATACGTAAGCTCCGATACAGCACTTCATTCTCCCTAAAGGAAAGCCTAGAACTGCAGGACTATAATTTTCTTGACATCTCCTGACATCTTTACAACACTGGCCAATTTATCAGCTCCTGTAGTATGTGGCTTATGTAACAGTACGATGGGCTGGGCAAAAGCCTCCAGGACTATATCGTCAGCTAAAATGTCCTGTTCAGTGTGCACTTAGCGTGAGCGAGTTATCTGCTGTCCCGCTGCCACCCGGGCAGCAAGAAGCACTAGCTGGCACCTCCCCACCCGGCCCAGCAGCTCCGCAGGGGAAGGCAACTGAAGCTGCGTGGGTTTTTCATCCCTTGCAAGTGCATCTCGGTGCCACAGCGAACAGCCCAGGCGTTTGCTCTCCTCTACTTTCTTTGTATAATGCACAACCAAGGCCTCTTTTTACTCCTCTGGACTCTCTTACCTCTTCCAACCTTCTGGTCATCCATGACCTGATTAGGATGGCCCGTGAGTGGGTTTAAGTCATATTCTGAAGAGCAAAAGAAGGCGGGGAGTAGGTGAGGGACATCGCGCCTACATAACATGATTAAGGGGGGATGTGAAAAGGTGTGGGGATTCAAATGTACCGGGGGGTTATCCAACTATATCCTTCACCTCAAATTCTCCCCTCTCTGCACCTCACGAAGTAAATGGAGGGCCAAAAGTTATTTTGAGTGGTTCTTGCCTCCTGACTTACAGTGCTACTCCTCCCCCCCCAGCCCCCCAGCCCCCAAAACCAACCCCAAAACTCCCAAACAAAAACGCCAAATTAACTTACGTGTTCAAGGAAACATGGTCCAATTTCACTGAGATGGGGGTCCTCGTTGTTGTACTGTTTCTCCAAGTCCCGGACAAAACCCATCTGAAATCTGTAGATATCTTCGATGTTACCAAAGATGATTTTTAGCTGTTCATCACTGAACATATCCCTCCTCTTCCGGCACTGCTTTAAGTAACCCTGTAAGGAGTAAGAAAGAACAATCCATAAAATAACCGAAACACTTATACTGAGGCTGCTCCCAGATTACTCTTGAGGAAGGAGCAAGTAAAAACAAAATCAGAAAATGGCTCTGAAAACAAAATCCACTTGTTACGACATGAGAGTCTCCATCAACTCCTGTCTATGAGTAAGCATGCAATGCACAAAACGCACCCTGAAACACTACGAGTCCTTTTTTTGATAGGCAACATCTCATTTGCAACTGTTGTTTCCCACTGCAACCTACAGCAGACCCACGGCACTTCTCTTGCTAAGGACACGCCAGACGCAGTATGCACAGGGCTTCACAGCCTGCGTCAGGAGATGCTGGAGATGGCCTGTGTACAGTGCGTTGGGAGGACAGTGCTGGGTTCTGCCTCAACGTCCCTCAGCATTTTGCATGAACCAGTTTTGCAAAAGGAAGGTTCCCCAGAGATCTCAACCAGCACAGCCTGAAACGGCTCTGTCCCTACCTGTGCTGCAAACAACAGCAAAATTTGGCTCCAAAAAGGTGTGTTACAGTATTGTATGTTTGTTCCTTCAATAATCACTGCCTCGCAATACCCAATATCCAGGGTAGCTCCTACAAACATCGCTGTTTCCATGTCTTCTTCAGTGGCACGTGGCATTACAGAGAAAACTGCAAGGGGCTGCTTGATCATCTGCCCCCTCTGATTTCTCCTTTTAGCCATGGTAATCAGGACAAGGAAGCTGATAATCATGCTGCGAAATACTCTATTAATGTCTGGTTGCATGCCCTTGGTCTAGGAAGAGGGTATGGAGGGTGTAACCATCCTAGCTGTTTCAGCACCAAGTGAAATGTTGAAGGAAAACACTCTTCAAGCGTTCCCTGACTTGGGAGGCAACATGGTTTATCCCCCCCATTATTCATCTTCCTGAGTCTGAGACAAAAGCGGAAGGGCTGTTGTGCTGTGAGTGTCATGGCGGTGAACCCCAAAGGCGATGCAGTAGGTTGGGTCGGTGTTTTGGCTTGCCCGAGCAAGGGAGCCACAGTGGGAGCAACCTGAGTTGCTGATCAATGCCATCTAAAGGAAAACAGCATTATTTTAATTTTGTTTTCTATATCCTCCATTCCATTAGCGCAAATATGCTATTCCAAACAGTGTAAAACGAGGGACAATTTTTCTGCCGTTTTCTCAACTATCATCTTGCATTGCTTTTCTTCCTTTTTTAAGTGGGACCAGAGGAAAAGGCTTTGTACCCTTCTCTGCACAAACATCAGGCTCCCTTACTGAGTCTGTAGACATTAAAGTCAAATGGAGAAAGACAGAAGGAGAACTAGGATGTAGAGAGTTTAAGGAAATTCTCCAAAATCACAGAATGAATCTGCAGCAGATTTGGAAACAATTCAGATCTCCTGCGTCTCGGTCCAGTGCACTAATAAAAAGATCCTCCTTGCTTATTCTTCACCTGCCCATGATACCCATTGGTACTGAGCCTGAGCTTAGCTGGACATCATATGAACACAAATCGGTAGGCAAGCACTGCTCTGAAGACCTCCTGACCTAAAAAGACTGAGCAGATCAGTATTCTGGCAAAAAGCGTAACACACCAAGTTCTGTCTGCCTCCCTGTTTTGCTGACCCTGCCTTATCCATGAACTCACCATCCTGGTTTCAGCTGAATCATGAGGACTTCTTCAAACACGCCTGCCTGAAGCACACGTGGTCCAGGGGACAGCGTGACACATGGAGGCTCTGGAAGCCTGGGCTGAATTTCTGGCTCTGCCACCGACCTGTGTGACATTGAGCAAATCACTTCATCCCCCCTGTGCTTCGCCTGTCTGGATGATTTAGACTAGAAACTTTGCAAGGCCAAATATCAGATGCTATGCTGGCCCGGTCTGGACTGTGGCCTCTTGACCGAAAAGAAATAACATGGGGGTCATCATGAGATGACTTTGCCTGCCTTTATTATATAGGAAGAGAAAAAAATGAAGGGGAAAAAAAAATATGCCAACAGCTCCAGTTGAATGGCTATATTTGGGAACTCTAGATGCTTAGTCACACAGACGAACTGCCAGCTGGTGACACGCAGCTGCTGGTCCACAATGCGAACTATTGCAACGCTATAATAAACTGTCCTTCAGCCTCACCATGTGGTTCCTGGGAGGGAGAACTTCAAACAGATGAATGATAAGTGCAACTTTGGCCGACCTGGCAAAGAACCAACCTCTGCGATGTCCAGCTTAGCTAGAAGGACGCCGTTACCCTGAATTTGCTGGCTCTTTCAGCTGGGAAGCTTGGGTTATGGAATACGTTCTGCACTTACTAAATCTAGGTCTCTCTTCTTCCAGGAGCTACTTGATGACTCATTTCCCTGGGTTTCCCCCTCTCATTTTTCAAGGCCAGGAGGAATGGGAGCAGGCTGGTTCCCACACTGCAGGACAGTTGCAGGGCAAATAAAAATTCAAACTAGCAAGGAATAATGCAGAATATGTTTCCATGCTGCTTTTCAAGTTTACCTGCTTATCTCAGAACAGCTTTCAACAAAAAAAGAAAAAAGATGTGCACCTGCCCACAAGGCCAGGCTCTTTTTGACACTGGCTTTCGTGCTAGCAGCGCTGAATGACTGCTGCAAGCCGTTTGTATTAGGACCTTTGCCCCGCTGCACGCTGCAGGCTGCCTGCAAGCCAGCCTCCCCTCTCGCATACTGTTCTGTGAAATCAGTCACTGGATGATTTATGTGAACATCTTTCAGCCCTGGGGTTGCTATTGGCTGCGACTACCGTCTTGAATATTCCCCGTTCTCCCTGTGCTGCTTCATCACTTTGCCCGAGTCACGTGTTTCAGAGAAGCTGAAGCAGCACATTTCTGTACAGGCACCTCTAAAACCACGAGGAAAATATAAGAACGCACGGAGTTCCCAAGCCTTATCCTCTACCCAGCTTGTGCACTTGGGTGGTTGGTTTCCAGCACAAGCCAGCGAAGGGGAGACTGAAGATTTATATATAATACGCAGCAAGAGCCAGCTAGAAGGCTGCTGCATAGTTTTTCCAGTAAATTTACTTCTGTTACATAAAACAATGTCATCTTCCTTCTGCTCATCCCGTCAGGTTTGCTCAGAGGAGGGATAGCTGACTGATGAGCAGATGTTGGAGAGTGTTTTGCTCAATGAATACCTAAAAATAGCTGTCAAACTGTCTCTTTTTAAAATACTTTTCCATGTAGTCCATGAAGTATAGGCCAAAGTTGGAAAGTATTTGCAGGAGGTTAAGTGCTAAGTTTTCTCCACCCCAGAGTGTGTTTAGAGACAGTCAGGGCAGGTGGCCAATCCATCCGTCCTCCTCCTTGTCCGGCTGAGAGCAAAGTGAAGGAGAGAATGAGGAGATGATAGCCACTGCAGGCTATAACTTCAAAGGCAGTTGTGGTGATATTCCAGTTTCTTTCCATCTCTGAGCCAGTTTGGGGGCTGTCTACGCTGTCTTGTAGACCATCCCTCAGTTTGGACCGGCACCATTTGGGCTATAAAAATATTGTTCTCTAGAGCGGTGCTCACAGCATCCAGCTGAGCGTTGTGCTGATACGCGCATAGCAAGAATAAGCACAAGACCAAAGCTGAGGCTGTTTGAATCGAAAAGGAAAACTAGAGCCGTGTCGGGTCCCAGGCAGTCAGGACTCTAAAGCACTTATTCAAATACTGGTCTACAGCAAGTACTGAATGTCAGGCACTGTGATCGCACCGGGGCCCACCTAAAATATAAAATGAAGTCCTGCAGGAACACAAGCCTGTTCCTCAAAAGGGCAAGAAGCAGCCAGCTCCAAAACAGAAAAAGGAGGTGTGCACAAGCAGGCTGTGAAAGACAGCTACAAATTGCACGCTGGGGAATACATGTATGTAGTATATATATCGCCATTGATCCAAAGAGCTTTCTGCAGAGCCGCCCTCCAGTCTGCTATCCACGGATGAGAAACTGGTCATACAACGGGGCCAGCAGCTCCTCAGAAGTGGTCCTCTGAAGGAGGGCCACATTGCCGCCAAGGTTTTATGCTGCTTCGCTCTGAGGCAGCACAAAAAAGTGTTTTTTATCCGTCTCCGAGAATGACTCAGGCTAATGCCATCCAGACCACGTGAAAACTTGTCCCGTCAGCTCTGCACAACAGACTCAGCTTGACAGCTAAGATGCAACAAGGATGTTTTCCACACGGCATTCAGAGCTGCCCTGGCACCAAAGCAAAGCTTAGGTGGAATCCAGTCAAAATTATTAAAAAATAAATTCAAAGTGAAATTACTTGGAAAAGAGCAAAACGCAGCACTGGAAGTTGGCTGGCCTTTCTAACCTCCCACCCCCAAATTACTCATAATACAGAGGTTTCCTTTGATCTCCCATTGTCTCACTGTTCCCATCCAAGCTCTGTCACTTCTCCTTCTAACACCTCCTTAAATTTAGCCTTGTCTTCCTAATCCATATGCTGGTCCAAATCCTGCTCGTTTCTCAAAGCACGGCACCCTGCTCTTTGTAGCCCTCCTGCGTCTCGTTAGTCCACCCGCGCTCCCCACTGCACGCTACAGCTCAAACCACCTTCTTGGCCCTCTGCTCTCATCGAGGTACCTGTCCTGACTGAGCACCTCGGCTGCTCCGCCGGTGTCACTGGTGCCACATCACAGATAGATCCTGCGCCCTTCTGCATCCTCCCAGGATCAAGCCCCAGGTGCAGGGGGATATCTTTTCAAGCCTGGAGATGGCCATGCATATGTGTGGTGCTTTACAGGACAGCGAGTGAGCAGCACTGCCTGCCAGCAAGGCTGGCTATTGCTACCCATTATAAAAGCCTAGTTTTCAGTAGCTTATCATTTTTCTAAGCTCTGACTGCTAAGCCTGAAATTCCTATTGCAGGATATTTCCTTAAGGCTAAATTATTTTTTCTTTCTTTCTTTTCCCCTTGGTGATATTTCAGAATAATGATCCATGCACTCCTGATAACGCAGTCCAGGGAAAACTCCACTTCTTACCCCTAATAAAAATCTTCACAAAAGTGTTTCACCAAGCAGCAGTCAGTCCTTCATACTCTAAGCAAGGGCACCACAGCAGCAGTCGCCAGGGCAGTATGGCTTTGCTGTGATGGGGAATTCCCCTCCAAGCCAGCTGCTTCACGCAGGTCTTGGCTTGCGCAGGTGATTTTCATTCTGGTGCTGGCTAGCCTGTGAGCTCCTAACTTGGCAGGACTAGTGCCATGGGTATTATGAATAATAACATGGTGTATAATAATATAGTAGCAGGTTGTGGAAATACATCCTGAAGCAGAAAAGAGCAATTGGAGGGCTCTTAATCACCTAGCAGGGGCTACGGTCCTCTGATAACAACCACACATCTTCAGGTGCCTCACGTATTAGGATTTGTTATTTGTTATAGCTCAGCAACAAGAGTATAACTACACACTGCTGAACTCAGTACTAAATCAGGCTCAACCTTTGCCACCCAGCCAGAACTCCTCTTTCATCCCCTCCAATACGTCATATCGCTGCTGTTTGTCCTGACACCTTAAAATAAAGAGCACGGGGAAGAGGGGAATTTGCCACTGTCAACAGCACTTCTGCATCTCATCAGCGGTTGTCTGGTGTCTACTCGTTCTTCGGCACAAATAACACCTCTGTACAAATTCATCCAGTAGTGCTGGGAGGAGCTCAAGCCGGCCCGCGTCTCTCCATCTCCAGCCCCCCTCCTCTTATGCACAAACAGAAACAGTCACGTCATGCCATGCCGAAATGCCTGGGATGACTGAGCTGTCTCCGAGCCTTCTCGAGGCAAATGGATTGCTCTGATTAAACTGGGCACAATGAGGCTCTCTCCAGCAAGGGACAGCCCATCATTTTGCAGATAACAATGCCCATTTCAGTCCTCCTCCTCCTTTAAGAGAGGCAGCTGAATAATTTCCTGGTGCTCTACCTGGATTTGTTCCCTCAGTACCATTTTGCATCATACAGAGCAAGGCAAGAGCCTTAGAGATCTCTTTCATATCTGGGACATATCATTAGGTGCTGTAAATCAGTGTTATCCCACAGATGTCACTGAAGCTATACCTCTCTGTACCTCCTGAGAATCTGATTTGGCAAAAGCATGGTGACACCTTAAATGCAAGTTAAGGTTTATTCAGTTTTTCAACGGAAAAGTGCAAATGCAGGAAAAGAAACAATATGTGGAGAAGTTTCTGCAGTTCTTCCCTTCTTCAATGCAAAGCCCTCGGACTGAAATAGCACAGCGAAATTAAGCTCATTTGTTTCCAAACCGAAATCCCAAGACTCTTCCGTATTTGAAAAGCGTCATAGATGCTTTTTGGATGGCTGCTTTGCCTTGTCAATAGAAAAGTAGCAAGTATGAAGGGAGGAAGACATGTTTCTAAGCAGAACTCACAAGGGGCTTCAGCACATTGACTCTGCAAAGACTGGGCACAGGCTCGCTAAATCCTAAACACTCAGAGGGATGAGCTGAAAGCCTTGGACTTGGATTTTAGTGCTAAAAAACTTTTGCCTCTTAGTGATAAGTATATGCTCTACACACAACGCCCAAGCTGTCCTGCAACACTCTCCGGCACAGCCGTGCGTTCTCCTTCCCAAACACCCAGCACCGCATGCACTGCACTTGGGGCTTAGTGTGGCACTGATTCTGCGTGCTGCAGGACAGTGAGGGGTTGTAGGGGTTAACTGTACCATAATGAAGAAGAACCAAGTTGAGGATGCGAAGGGTCAGTCACCAAAGTTCATTTGCTTGCCGGCTCCCTTGCACTGGGTAAATGTAACGTACTTCATTTCCCACGGTGAAAACACTTTGCTCTCAGTCTCCCCGTAAGAAAAGGCAAATGGGAGCCCATCCTGAGCCAGGGGAAATTGTGAACCCAGTGTGAAAGACACAGATGAAATGGGTAACTGATTGGTTTAATTACAACCTAATTTCCTCAATCACAAGTTCAGAAGTAGATGGCATTGGGCTTTAATTAAGAGGACTGCTGAAGGATCTCAACTTCATCAGTTTTTAGAGGTATGGAAAAAAGGTCAGAAAATTCTACTTTTAGTTAATACAAACTAAAGGTAATTATCAGATCCAGCAGAAAATTCTCAGAAGCATCAATACTTATTGACAGATGCTGCTCCTCTTTTAGACACAGTACTCAAACACACTGCATCTTTTTCCCCCATCACCCAAGGACAAACCCAGTCCTCAGCTCTCAACAGCCCATCCCGTGTCCTACTGCAGTACCCCAGCGTCACAACCCCCGTGTACCTCGCAAATGTCCTTGAGGTGCTTGATGTAGTGGCGCTCGGTGCTCATGATTTCATTGATGACGTTGGCTCTCATCTGGTCTCGGTTCTGAACGGTCCTGCCGAGACAGAGGCAGTCGGCGCTTGGATCCAAATGGCCATTCTGCACATCGCTGGTTCCCTCCTCCACTCCATCTTCTTGGTTTACCCATAGCTGCGAGGAGAAGAGGGGAGAGCAACAGGCTTATTCATAAAACCATCAGGAAGCCAACGAGTGAAAGTAGGCTGTGTCTTGGGTCGCATGACTCCGGGAGATACTGGATCGGACTCCCTCCTTACAGCAACGGCGATGCTCTTGCCAGCGATGCACCGTGGTGTCCACAACAGCTTACAGCCCAGACAGTCCATTTTTACACTGGTGCAACCAGCCCCAAATGGTTCCCCGCACACTGCCAAGTTCCTCTCGTAAGCAAAGGGATTTCAAGTGTTGACAGTTCTGATCCCAAATATAAAATAATCATGTGGAAGGGGAACTGGACTGTTGGATGCTCTCAAGTGCTCTGAACCAAGATGTACATACGTAAAAGAGACCAACCTAAAGAAAGCTGCAGCGACTAGTGTAAAGCACGGCTTGTCCCAGTTCCCGCACGCCATCAGCTGGGGTCTGGCCGAACAGGAAGAAACTTCTGGGAGGAAGGATAAGCCCTTTACAGGTGACTGATTTAAGAAGGTCAAGATACACCTGGTTCAGAAATCTGAATGAATGTGAACATCAGCCCAGGCTAACTGGGTCGTGGCACTGAGTTTTCTGTAAACTTCCCAGGCCAGGATTTGTGAATGAGCATTGATTTTCATTTCACAGCAGCTTTCCTCATCATTTCACATGAAGAGCCTTTCCCACTCAGGCAAATGCCCTATCTCAGCATCCTGAGATGGTGATCCCTAAACCGCACTGAGATCAGACCGGCTGAATAAGTCTCCTAAAACCTGGGGGGGGCTGAGGGCAACTTTGGAGGGGGTGCCGAGCACCCCTGGGCACTGAATAGTCTAAAGTGGAACAAATTGCAAAACGCAATGAAAAAGGATCGCTGCATTTTCAGCACACTGAATTTTCTTTCCATCGTCAAATAAAAAACATACATTGAATTTGTAAACTAAAAGATAACGCTGCCTCCTAGTCTCTGTGTCTTTGAACGAGACTGTGCTCTGCACACAACATACGGATCAAGTGCCTCCTTTTGTTACCTTTTCCCCCGAATAAAACCTGCTTAAAATAACCCTGATTAACTCAAATTGGGCTCAGCGTAGTTTGTAAACAAACAATAAATAAAGCTTAAAACAGACAGAAATACTGCTGTCTTACACAGATCACCTAAGTTGCCATGTAAATGAAGCAACTTTTCTCCTCAGCATTTAAAGCCCCAAATACTGGAGACTTTCAAACATAAAAATAAGTCTACCTATAAACAGTGAAACTGTCCACACAAACAGAGCGGCATATGGAAAACAAACTGCATCGTTAACCTGATCTTGCAGTCTTCTTTTCAGTGTTAATAGTTTTTTATACTTTCCCATTATTCAGCTTAAATTTGGTTTTAAACAGATTGTAAAGGGCTGTGTTTCTGTAAATTAGTGAAGTAAAAAACCCTAAACCTGCCCATGCTCCTTCCCTTCTTTCCTAACCAATATTACGTTTTGCCAAACCACTTCTTGCAGCTCCCACGTTTTGTCATCCTACAGTGAGTTATAAAGGCCAAGAAGCCGAGATGTTTGAAGAAAACCCATCTCTTCTCTAGCAGAATGTTAATGATGCCACAAACTTAGGGGATAAAAAACCCCAAAGCAATAAAAAGCCGGACTTTTCACCCTGCTCACCACTGTGCCCTGTGTCTGGGAGCTATCAGGGACTTCACACGAGGGTGTGTAGGGCAGCAGTGCCTGTTTAATTGACAAGATGCCCTCTTTGCCGGCAGCGGGCAGGACCCGCTGGGGGCATCAACCCTATGCTGAGTGTTGCAGAGAGCAGCTCACCCCAGGCTGTGCTCGTGCCGTGTCCTGGCAGCACCGGGCACTTTCCAAGGCAGGAAACCCAGTGCAGACCATTTGCCTGAATGAGTGAGTGGCAGAGCCAGGACAGAATCATAGGATCATTAAGGTTGGAAAAGACCTCTAAGATCATCGAGTCCAACCGTCAACCCAACACCACCATGCCCACTAAACCATGTCCTTAAGTGCCGCATCCACACGTCTTTTAAATACTTCCAGGGATGGTGACTCAACCACTTCCCTGGGCAGCCTGTTCCAATGTTTAACCACTCTTTCAGCAAAGAAATTTTTCTTTGGATGGATCCAGGCATCCTACCTGCTCTGCCCACGCGATCTCCTACCTGTTCCCCACCCTGCATTGCCAACATGGGACCTCCTTTTGCACATCAGGAGACCAGAGGGATGCGCCGAAGCCTGCCAAGGAGGTGGAATAACCCCTCCTGCCACCTCGGCGCTGCTCCCGTTGCATGAAGGAGCCATCCTCGAAGTACAAAGGCTTCACACCTTTCCCCAAGACAGTGCAGCTGAGAGTCAATTAAATGTCTTGTGTGACAGAGCAGAAGCAAAACCCAGCAAATATGGCTGTCAGCTCTCAGTTTCTTATGTCATGGTGCTCTCCAGGGGGAAGGGGTGTGTCCAGGCACAGAATGGCCGTGCGGTCCTGCGGCACTGGCAGCACCCAGGGTGGCTCGGCTGCGGTCAAAGCAGGGCTGGTCCTAAGGGCGAGCAGCCCTGGGTGCTGCAGAAGGGCATTTCGGTGACCCCAGCCATGTCCAGCTATGCCAGTTTGGACACAGGGAAACCCCTGGGAGACGCAGCATGCCTGGGAGCAGCTCTGCATGCCTTTCCCCAGGTCCTTCCCACAGGATGGGGTTCTCCATCGCAGCATCTGCTGCAAAGATGGACTAGGTCACGTTGTCTCCCAACTGTGGGGCTGCACGTGGATCTCTGAAAGGACTTTTTGTAGGATTTCCATCAGCACTGGGAGGCCTGGTTGAGCCCTGGGTCACTGTGAGGGAAGGCAGTGAGCTAGTGATCTAATCGCACCCAAAGATACGGGGATCCAGCCTGCAAAACCCCTCCTGGCACGCTGAAACAGATTTCAGAAGAATATCACTTGTTCAGAGAAACAACCCAAAGGCCAGTTAGAAAACATGCCTCTTCCCAGCAAACCCTGCTCTCTGCTCTGGAAGAGGTTTCAGTTACACTGAGATAGAGCACCGCTTCACGTACGTAAGCAGTGTTTTATGATGAAAAATAAACGTCCAAGTGCTGCTTCTGAGTAACCGCCATGCTGGCGTAAGACTGCCAACGCGACCTTGGGGGCCCATTTACTTACATCAGTGACGCTGATTTTAGTGGGGGCTCTGCTGTGAAAACCTGGGGGCCATCCTCAGAAGACAAAATAGCCTAGACGTGGGAAGGACAGAATTGCATGGGGAGTCCTTTGAGGAATATATCCTTGCGACAGCTTTATTGGCATCCCAAACCAAATATATGTTGAAAATCAAGCAGGCCCAATGTAGGTATTAAACCCCGTCGGCTGAAGTTTAAAATAACTTCCCATCCTACCTTCCTGCTACTAGGAAAAGGTATTTTGCAGCTCTCCCAAACCCAACTGGGACAGCTTGTTACCAAGTTTCATGACACTCCTGCCAGTGTGGCAACAGAAGATATTTTTAAAGCTCTGCCTCCTGGAGTCAAGCGATCATGAGAAAAATTTCAATTTTCATTAAAAAAATAAAGTAGGAAAGATCTAATCATAATAGTAGGGGGGGAAAGCTTGAAAGCATGAATCCTAAAGGCTTTGAAACTCTAAGGCAAATAGCAAGCTTGCGAACTTTCATGATATCTGAAAACCTCAGAATTTGGTCTGCCTTTTGTGCACTGCAGGAGCACTCCCTGCTTCCACATCTGGGAATCTCAGGAGTCCTGCTTTTTTCCTTAATGAAATTTTTGCTCCTTCCTGCTAGGATTCATGTTCCCAAAAGGAAAAAATTACAGTTCTAGTCTAGATGACTTCAGCTTTAGATTAAAAACAAATGCAACGATTTTATCGCTAACAGAGGAAGCCGAATGTGCCTTCCACCCAGCCTCAGCTGCTGAAAAGATTAATCCCACTGCACTGTTCAAACACTCCTGCTTTCTGTCTTAACCTCTAAAGTTCTCCGTAATTCAAGCAAGGATCATTCTTCCAGGGGATCATTTGAAGTATGCACCGTGACTCACAAAAGATGAGGTACATCGGCAGCTCTGCTGCTGACCTTGGGCCAATCACTTACACTGGTGAAGGCTTTCCCCATCTATAAACGGGGATAATCTACCTTACCAATGACATTTTTCATGAATATTTTTGAGGTTGACAGACTTTACGTTGAAGCAGAGGGCACAGAAAAGCTCGTGCATACTTTGAAATACGGACTGAAATGCATCACTGTGGGCTCGCCGCGCTCTTGTACTCAACCATGAGCAACAATTTGGCTAGACAGACCCTTGGTCTGACACAGTATGCCTGGTTTTGCAACTTCAGCTCTCAAATCCTCTTGTGCCTGTGCTGAGAAGGAGCTGGGCTGCGCTGGGGCGAGGGAAGGCTGCACCTAAAGCGTTAATTGTGTCCTCTGACCCAACACCACCACCCCAAGCCAGATCCTCTCTGCTTCACTGACCTGCTCGCTCAAACCGCAACGATGGTGTGCTGCAGGCGACAGTAAGGTGGAAGAGGCAAACTGGGGGTGACACTGTTTCTTCCCAGTGACTTATTAAATGTCATATTTAGTTGATTTAGACAATGCTGCAAAGGTTCCTACCTTAGCCCAGTCCACAGTCACCTGTAAGTAGGGTGTTCGCTACCTTTTAGACACACGTGACTTTCCCAAAAACGCTCTCCTGCCTGAAATGCTTGACCTCCATCGCTGCGGATAACAGCTGAGATACCACTAACGGAAAAATGGCTCTCTCTTCCCCAGCTCTTCCAATGTGCACTGGACACAAATGCACAGATGTACCTCCCTCCCAGGGCAAATATCGCTTTTTTTTTAGAAAAGAAACTTCAAAACTCTAGTTTTCTCCCAGTTTCACCTTATCCCCCCCAGTCTTCCCTGCTCAGGATGGGTGGCTGCCACCCCTGTGAAGCTCCTGTGGGGCTTTCCACAGAGCAGAGGTGGGACT